ATAATTATAACTTTTAAAAAAATAACTTAATTATATTTATATTATCGTATTTCGAGGACCTCCTTCATTAAAACTGAAACTTTAAGGCCAAAGGATGACTAGCTCTAAGTCTAATTAAGAATACATGTCAATGTTTTTATTATAGATTTAAAAATCAAAATCCTCTACTTTGGTTATGGGTAGAATTAGGACTAATACCAAAAGCTTCTCTCTTATTACTTTTATTTATTATGGAATGGCTAAATCGAATAGGCATAGCGGTATTATTTTTAAATTACGCCCACAGTAAAACTGTTAAAAATCAACTTTTAAAAATCAACTTATTAATAAGAGATAAAATTATGAGACATAACTCATGACAAGCTATGCTAAGCTTAGTCATTTTAGACAGCAATCAGACGCTTCCTTTTCTATTTAATATGGTTACCTCACAATTAAAAACTAGATTCAAATAATTATTTACTATATTTTACATTTGACACGTTACTAACCCAAAAATCTCTTGATATGCAAACTGAACAAAAAACATATTTCTGGTCTATCAAAGCAACACGGTACAAAATTTTTCAAAACTTCTAGAGCACAAAACGCATGTGCAGTTAAGGCAAAGGGAAACCATTGCCAATCTGGCAAAGTCCTTTTGATGACAGAAGGGCTAATAATATATGAAAAGGAGATCGGCAATTATCATTAATTAGATACTTCGCCGAAGCAAGGGACACTCCTAGTAAATTTGTATCGGAAATGGCCATCGGCGCCGTAGGATCCGAGTTTTTAATTTTTTCATGTGCATGTAATTTGAATAAATTAGGAGTCATTTTGGCCCATAATTAAGTTTGACTCCGCCCATTAACGTTAGGAGAAATGTTGAGCTACATTCCCATTGATTTAATTTGTTCTTTATCTCAACTTTAAGTGAGGAAAATTGTATGTCAATATAAGGCATCTTCGCATTAAAAAATTCGGTCTAAATATTCAATGTAGGTCTTTCATATTAAAAGTAGGCCTGCATAATTTGTTGAAGTACACGTGTGCAAAATTTCATTGGGATAGCTCATGAAACATTTTCACAACTCTCCTCAACGTTGATCTCATTATGCAAAGGCCGCACAGGCCATTTTGGATAAGTGATCCCGCCCCCTTTTAAATGGCGGAAAAAGAAAATACTTAGCTTAGGAAATATTCATTATTATCTCTATATACATAAAAATATTTGATAACTTGTGTTTCAGAATGAATTTTGAAAACATTTAAACTAGAATTGTTAAATTTGAGCTTTAAAACCCCGGTAGAGTCCATATTATTAGCGATCAGAATTGACAGTGTGCAAAAAGTCATGGGAAACCACAGCCATTTGCATAATGCTATGCCGTAGTAGTACTACTGACTACCTCAAGTTTCATTCATAGGAGTTTGCCGTGTGCAAAAACTATTAACAACATTGGTCAGGGAAAGCTTTAGTTAATTAGTCATGTGCCAAAGTTGAAAGTTCAAAATAAGTAGATACCAAACAACATTTTAGGGTAGGGGGTGCGTTGCCTTATATAGACTATATAGCATTTAACGGTATAATGGACGCTGAAGATTTGGTAAACAGAAAAGCCATACATTAATACATTATATTAAATTTACTGATATAAATAGTGCATAGATAGTGTTATGGTGGACTAGCGGACTGGCCCATACCGATAGCCAGCCAGGGAAACGGCGCGCATGCGCAGAGAGACTGGACAGAGTGTGTGTGTTTATGAACCGTGTTCCGGACGCAAGCAGAAAGTCAACACCTGATTGAGAACTTGTATTTATGTATATATATGTTTATGTTACTTGTTTGAAATAAAAACAATGAAAACATAACAGATAGATAAGCTACAATTTATCTATAATTGTTAACATTATTAAACTTTTTTTTTAATACAGCATTAGTTCTGAAAATAAAATCATCATTAAAACAAGAGTTATATAACTCGTGGCGCGAACAGCGGAATTGGGTACCAGAAAATGGAGATGCTGTCCATGTTAAAAAAAGGACAAATTAAGTCGTACTTTAAAAATTCATAATTTTAAAACTACAACAGCTAAACATATGATTTTGGTGTTATAATTCTTTTAAAAATTAGCTCTATTCAACTATGCCATTGGTTTATTTTTTTTTAAAGTTTTAATTTTTGTATCAAAGTATCTAACATTAATTATCATGGAATCCAAATTTATCCTTTTTTTTTATATTTAAAAATTTCCTGACTAGCCGAAAAATGTGCTTACCAGAATGTCCATTTTCCCACTTTTCATGACAGGGAAATGAATGAATTCCCATATAATTCCTGTCCCCCCCCCCCCCCCCCCCCTCTGAATGGGGACCCAGATTTACACAAATCTATAACTATAATAAAATCATGAGTATAGTAGACAGGCCTGTTAGTGTTATTGCTTATACTTAACTTTTTATCTTATTATGGCAGCAATTATTTATCAAGTATGAGTTGTTTAGTCTTAGTAGTATGAGTAGACAGCCAGTAGACAGGTCATGAGACAGACATAGTATGAGTATGAGTAGTGACAGTAGTATGACGGTTCAGACAGTACTTTATGAGTTACAATATCTAAATAAAACTAAATATGCATTAGCATTGCAATTACCTGACAAATCCAATAAATATCGTCATGGCCAGAAAGCACAGAATTATAACAACTATTGATGTTACGTTAGAGTAACCTGCCAGCCATAATAACGTTAAGCTTGTCATGTTCATCTGTATTGTTTACTTCCTCAATTACAGCAGGAAAGAGGTTGCGGATGTTACGACATGCTGCTAAATTTTAAATTATTATCCATAATATTATGGTCCATAATTTGGACCTTTCAGAGTGTATTTATTCATATTTTAGACCTAAATAGTTCGTTTTACGGTAAGACTTTGAGGGTTATTTCAGGGGAGGGGGGAGGAAGAGAAATGTGCATAATCCAGATTTGTAAAGATAAAATATGTTTGTATGTAGCCTGTTTCAATTGTTAGCCATTGGATTATCTTTTGATATTTAGATTTTCATTGGCAGTTTGGAGAGCTTGATGAGTCTGTCCTTTTTTTTTCTTCTAATGAATTGAGCAGCTCATAAATAAATGAAGTATTGATTTAATCTTACATAACTTGAAAAGTAATGCATGCATTACGAAAACATATATATACGGTAGAAATACAACAAAATAATTGATATTAGTTTATTTATTTTCCTTCCTTTTATTAAGTTTCATAAAGCCACCATAATGTTTGTAAATGGTAGTCATTAAAAAGTTGTGAGATCATATCATTTTTAATCAGCAGCTTGTTTCTCAAACAACAGAATCATTATTTCATTATTGGTCACATTCCTGGTCCCGGGTACCATACAAAAATCAAATATTTTTTTATAAGTGAGCAGAAAGAAGCAATATTTCATAAAAATGAATTTTAAATGATATCAATAATAATTGGATGTAGCATTTTACACAAAATATAATCTAGCAACAAATTTTGGGAGGCTGCCATTATTTATTGGTTAGTTGGTTGGTTGGTTGGTTGGTTGGTTGGTTGGTTGGTGCAGTGATGAGCAGTTTTCTGTTTCAGTTAGACTCCATTACGTTGACTGGAAACATGACAGGACAGACATTAAAATTCAAACTCAAACAGTATAAATTTCTGTGGAAGTCATCATGAAGCCTTCCTGTGACATGTGTTCCAGTGAGCTAATGGCAAAGTCTCTTTCACTTAAACTTAAATACAAGTGATCAGTATCTTTAGTTGGCAACAAAAAAATAAAAATCTTAAAACGTAGAAAGTGTCTAATCCAAATGGCAAATCTTCATTCATGCGACAACAGACTTAACTTAATTAATTGTATTTAAAAAAAACAGGATAACAAAACAGATTTCTGAAAACTGCCTCAAAACAAGTTTTACTTAAATAGTATTTTTCAACAGATAGTGTCAAAGTGTCCTCGTTTTATAGCCATTTTCATTGTTTCTATAGTATAGTAGTTACTATCCTAGTGTCTCATTTTTATTTACTTTATGGTAAGCGCTATATAAAAATGCCTAAATAAATAAATAAATAAATAAATAAATATCTTGAATATCAATTAGAGGGCAAATCGGAAGACTGCATTGACCTGGGATTTAGTGATGTCTTGCTCATGTGATTATGACTGCATAGATTTGCAAATTTAGTTGATATATTGTCAACAAATTTCAATGTAGTTAGTTCAAGCCTAAAAAAGCAGAATAGACATTTTTTAATTTGACATCTAGGGAGACTGAAAGTTTTGAACAACAAAAACTAAGATCATACCGGTACACTATAACTATAATACTACATACTTGAAGCTAAAAAATCAAATACTATCTACTGATGAAATACTTTCTTCTTCTATACTGAAAGGCTTAGGTGTCTAGTACAAGTACAAGCTATTTAAAGTGATCAGGTCTGCAGGAGCGGATCTGTCATTAAATCGTAATCTGTGTTAGTTTGACGGCTAGATCCAAGACTTCTTCACTTCTGAAGGTGCTAGCCAGCCAGTTATCAGGGATTGTAGAAAATCCTTCCTGAAAAATAAAAATGTGACATTATTTTTCTTTTATAAATAACAACAAAAATACCCGGTACACGTCAACAAATGTTATTTAATTTTGTGAAATGGTTCAAATTCTTACTCGATGTGGAATTGAAAAAGACTGGCTTGCTATGAGTTTATTACTACTTGTGCTTACAGTAAAACTAATTAAAGTGGTTTGATAATAAAAAAAATAATTTAAAAATCTTTTTATTCTGAATCTCCTTCTGGATAATTTATTTCTAATTACTCAGTTGCCTAATTATTTTTCTATAATTTCCCAAAAAGAGAATCTATTTTAAACTTGAAAATTGCGCTTTACTATAATTGGTATCACGATTTAACACATATTTTAAAACTCAATATTTCAATTGCCAATATTTACACAACTAATTAAACTTATCAAATAAAAATCACCACCGAACCTTTGCTGCAGTACATGCACCGATGAATCCACTGCGAGAAGCATTGCAACCTCCAGCTCTCATGGTGGAGCGAATGCCTTCAACGTAGGTCACAGCGGTGATCAGACCATGCAGAGTTGATTGGAAGGACTCCGGCAAGTCTAAGCAATCAAATGGAAATGATCTCAAAGTCATCGGACGAGATTTATTTTAATGTTCGTTTTAATTAAAATATTTTGTAGTACCGGGTATTTAAAATAATATAAAAAATGCATGACAATCGTTTTTCCAACATTGGTGATTTCAGTCCTATAGTCCGCTTTCTATTTCTAAATATACAAGGATTAATAAGATGATACTAAAAGGGTGATATGATTATAACTTTATCATAACATTTAAATTTTATTCATTCCTTTCGATAAAGACATGCTTTTTCTAAAAATTTATTTGGTATGTGATTTAATAAATTGGGTCAGAGCTTAACAAATTTCAATAAACATATTCTCCAACTAAAGAAGTAAATGGTAAGAGAGCAAGTTAGAGAGGAGACTATGGTAAGTTTTAACCCACCGGTCAAGCTTCAAAATAATAGACACCTAATAGCTAAAATAAACAATGAACTTGCGGATTTTCCTATCAGACAATAACTTGACACTTGTTTAAACACTTACGTCAGCTCTTTTTAAAGTGCTCAGACACAGCCTGTACATGGGGCGTGTCCTTGTATTTGACAACCTGTCGAAGCTGCCCAATGATAGCAACATCAAGGTCTTGGGGATTGTTCCGCTTTGGGTCGCTTAGTTGGTCAATTACAGTTTTTAACACATCACCAGGGTCTCCTTCCAGAATATACTGCTCTAGAACCCTAGGGAAAAGTTGAAAGTTAAAGTTTGATTTGATCAGAATTAGTCAAATTTATCTCATTCAAAAATCCCTATTTTCCTTATACTTATATGATAACTGTGTAAGAGCTTAGCAGTCAGAAATAGTTGATACATTTCAATGTACAAACCAAAGCTTACCTTGCTGCTGCTAAGCCAGCAGTCAGAAATAGCTGATCCATTTCAATGTACAAACCAAAGCTTACCTTGCTGCTGCTAAGCCAGCAGTCACTGATAAATCTGAATCTTGCAACACCCTCAGGCCAGCCTCCACTTTGTTGAGCATGTCGGGGTGTCCAGCATAAAGGGCTACAATAGGTATTAGTCTAACAACACAATCAATTTGATCATCATTGGCTGAGCCTGAGGGATTTTTGAAAGACAAATGTAGACAACCCATGTTACAAATCAACTGATTCTTTTGCTCTTGTTATGGGGAGAGATTTCTCCACACACAAAAAAATCATGCTCGACTCTCATTGGAAATATTTCATAACGCATTATATTAATAACAAAATATAAAAAAAACATAAATGTATACCCGTTGGCGTCTTTTTATCAAAAAGATTCTTGATAAAATCTTTGATACATCCATTTCGCCAAGGACCATCAATTGGGTACGATTGCTTTAGATCTGAATGATAATATTATCAAGCATTAAGTGACACTTGCACTATTTTTACACTAATAGTTATTGTTAGTTTATTTATTATAAAAATTTATTCAAACATATTTAGGAGTTTTATAATTCTCCATTCAAGTGATTTGAAAATAAAATTGAAACAATTATTTTAAGATTTGGCAGTTCCGTTACACGCTCATAGATTTTAAAATAACACAAATATTCAAAGATTGTATGAAATGATAATTCTTTGCATTCAAAATTCAGATTCATTCATTTGTTGGATAAAGAAGAAAAAATTCCTGCTATCCGAATAATGGCTAAGCTGATAAAATTGTGATTGATATTGAAAACTTAATTCACTTTGATACAATAATTTCGACCAACCGCTTACTTATTTTGTCTTCTTTTCCAACCTGATAATTGTTAGTCACCTTACTTTCATACTCAGAGGTTGGTCCAAAAAAATCATAGGTTGCTTTTGTCAGTTGTTCAATGTTTAGCCCTGAAGAACAAACAATCATTGGTGTTAAAATGACAATATTTGAGAGAACATTAAATGGCACGGTAACGTGAAGTTTCTATTATTATATTAGTTTAAAATAATGCATTTAATGATATACGTTCTTCCATTGACAGTAGAACCCTCTCAATCCCAAGAACTAAAACTAAGACCATCGGTGAACGCTCCTTCTGCTTCCATGGGCCCACGTTCTGGAACCAGCTCCCCTTCCATATACGTCATAGTGAAACCTCGTCCATTTTCAAAAAGTCCCTTAAAACTCATCTGTTTAGGTCCGCCTATGACCTGTGATGCACCCTCCTTGCCCTACCTAATTTTCTGTTTCGGTTTAATCCTGAAGTGTCAAAGTGTCCTCTTTTTATAGCCATTTTCATTGTTTCTATAGAATAGTAGTTACTATCCTAGTGTCTCATTTGTATTTACTTAGTTTACATGTTTTAATAATTGTAAAGCGCTTAGAGCTTTATGATAAGCGCTATATAAAAATGCCTAAATAAATAAATAAATAAATATACCATAATATAACAACACCACCAATAAAAAACAACATTACTGGTACAACCAAATATTATAAGGGACAATGAAATATCTTAGTGTAGATACATAAACAAATTGACAAACAAAATTTAAAAACTATTAAACATTTGAGAATTTGAACTACATTTACATCTCAAAAGTATTGGATGACTTTTAAATTAAGCCGAATATTTTTTTTAAGTGAAGATCCTGCTTCTAAGGAAAATGTGATGTAAAAAAATAATTTGTTTTCAAATAAAATCTTTCAAGAGAGCTTTATATATATATTTTTATATCCATATTGAATGTCTTTATAATTAGTGGAATAACTAGAGGTCTGTAACAAACTATTTGGCTGTAAATGGCTACATCTGGTTATAAAATGATCAATAATTTGTTTAGTAAATATACTGAATTTTTTTAACACTAGATCAGGGTCATAAAAGAAAACTGAGACAAATGCAAAAATATAGCGAGAGTGTTTGGCACCCGGGGACAAGATTTGCGACCGGGGACAAGGTTCATTTTAAAGCTCCCCCTCACCTTTTTTTTCAACTCTCAAACTAGTCAAACCCATTATTTTCATCAATAAAATAATATCAAAGCACATTTTGGCGCCCAAACTATCTGGCGCCAAGGGACATCTGCCCCCCCCACCTCCCTTCATTACACCTCTGGACAAAAGTAAACTTATACTTTTTATACATACACCGAAATTACATAATACGATAACTAATTTGTTAACTGTACCAGGCAAATTAGCTTATCACGTGCAGTGAAAAAGTAAAAACTATACTTAATACTCATAAAACGAATTCTCTTATATGAACCAACCTCCAGCTTCCACAATCGATTTAAGCATGACATATGCTTGATCACCATAGCAGGTGTTTCTACCCGTTTCAATGTTATAAAACGGGTTAGCAGAAGGAACTGTGAATTCAATTTCATCTTTGTCTTTGGTGAGGCTGAGCATGACGTCATCTTTATAAACCCAGTGCAAGGGCTGCGCTAAAGTTTAAAATGTTGTAACAGAAATGGGGTAAGTTAATGCTCAAATTAGAAGTGCAAACAAGAAAGTTTTAAAATTATTCCCCATATAAAGAATTTAAAACATTGAAAGCAAGCCCAACATCAGTCACTTCCTATTTTAAAATAGTTAGCCATACCCATAATTAATATGATGAGGAGAGTATGATATTCTATGAGCGGCAAAACTAACATCATGATAAAAATCCTATTAGGAATTAGTGTTAGTGGTTACTAAGTTAGCATTAACCAAAGGTCAATGTCAATGTTTGCAATCTATTTTGCACCACCTCAGTAAATAAAAATTTTAAAATATTTAAGTCACAGCACCTAGTATAAGAGCTAACATAAAAATTCCAGGCTGCAGTCAGAAGAATCCAGGGTACCGAATTCAGTTTCAGTTTTTTTATGTGTTAAGGCCTCAGGATTCAACATTGTGGGATATATTTTAGAACAAGTAGAATACAGGATCACATGATTACAAATGCTTCAAATGACAATGGTCAATTAACTCACTCATATGTCCATTGCCAACATCTGGGTGAGTATGCTAAATATTTATGTTTACCAGTGAAGTGTCAGTGTTTACTCAGCCTAAATCACCTAGGACTACGTACTGCCCAAAGTCACCTAGGATTAGGTAATGCCACAAGTCACCTAGGATTACATACTGCCCCAAGTCACCTAGGACTACGTACTGCCTAAAGTCATCGAGGACTACGTACTGCCCCAAGTCACCTAGGACCAAGTACTGCCCCAAGTCACCTAGGACCAAGTACTGCCCCAAGTCACCTAGGACCAAGTACTGCCCCAAGTCACCTAGGACCAAGTACTGCCCCAAGTCACCTAGGACTACGTACTGCCCCAAGTCACCTAGGACTACGTACTGCCCCAAGTCACCTAGGACCACGTACTGCCCCAAGTCACCTAGGACCACGTACTGCCCCAAGTCACCTAGGACTACGTACTGCCCCAAGTCACCTAGGACTAAGTACTGCCCTAAGTCACCTAGGACTACGTACTGCCCTAAGACAACTAGGACTAAGTACTGGTTGTAACAGTCCAACCCTCACTTTAAATGACTCAAGTCACCTAGGACTACGTACTGCCCCAAGTCACCTAGGACTACGTACTGCCCCAAGTCACCTAGGACTACGTACTGCCCCAAGTCACCTAGGACTACGTACTGCCCCAAGTCACCTAGGACCAAGTACTGCCCCAAGTCACCTAGGACTACGTACTGCCCCAAGTCACCTAGGACTACGTACTACCCCAAGTCACCTAGGACCACGTACTGCCCCAAGTCACCTAGGACCAAGTACTGCCCCAAGTCACCTAGGACTACGTACTGCCCCAAGTCACCTAGGACTAAGTACTGCCCTAAGTCACCTAGGACTACGTACTGCCCTAAGTCAACTAGGACTAAGTACTGGTTGTAACAGTCCAACCCTCACTTTAAATGACATTAAAATTAAAGAGATGTGTACAATGTGGGAAAGTGTTCAATTTCAACTGACTACTGTATCTAGGCTAATGTTGGTTTGGCTAGTTTCAATGTAAGTGTAGTATTCCAGATCTGTTGACTCTTTCGATTTTTGCGTACAATGTACAATTTTTAGGTGTATAAGTGTATAAATTATATATACTGTATGTTTATTTTTTACTATTAAAATAATGTATTGAACGATTTTGTGATCATATTGTATGATTTTAAGAGTTTGAGGGTAACCAGGTCGGCGATTCTCTCCCTTTTGTTTATACTTGGGTTGTTACTAGAGGTAACTTTTAAAAATATATATATATATTAAAAGGCCCAAGGAATGTTGTAAATTAATATGTCATTGAGTGATTACTAATAGTATTTAAAATTTTCAGCATTTTTGAAAATGGGTATAGACTAGTATTGATTTTCCTGACAACTTTTGGATTTTCTTTTTGGTGGAACCTGAAAAAAATACATTGTGCACAAGTGTATTCTATGAAACAGTAGGGTTTTCTTTCTTTTAAAATTAGTTTGTATTTTTTTTTTTACTTCATTTTTACACTTTTCTTACCAGTGTGTAACTGTAGCACATATTCATATATTTTAGTTGAGGAAAAGGAGCAACTGCATATCTAGACTAGAGGGTTACAATAAAGTTGCTACGTTCATCACAAAATTAATGTACCGCCTGAGATTATTTAGTTAAATTTTAAGGTTTTATTGCTAACACTAACTAACAACTAACACTTATTGAATTGCTAACAGCACAGTCCCTCTTTCCCCTCCCCATTATTTTAGCAGATGTGTGTTTGCACTACTTTTTTTTTTTATACAGTTGCCATCTTGGTTGCCATGACACGCTGCCACATTTAGTGGTCATTTACCTTTTACTTTTACCCTATTTCTACATCTATTAATTTTTAATCATTAATGAGAGACACAAACAATTTGTGAATGGTTAATCTTTCAGTTCTTCTAATCTTTGTTTTACAGGTAGGATATACAATAAACTATTTGAATATTGTTTGTATCTCATTCATTAATAAATTAATACTAATTGACTAATCTTATTATTAACGAGTATTTATTAATTAGCAGTGGCACTTTCAGGCCTTGCAGTTGCAGTCCAACTTCAACTGTCTCATTCATTCATGATTCATATCCTCAAGTTAATATATTAATATCAAACGTAAACTTAAACGGTAAATAATAGACTTAATTTATGCCATACCGGTACTATGTAATAATTTAATATAATAATTTACAAAACTTATTTCACCTGCAGCATCCGCTACACATGCACCAACAATAGCAGCAACCTTTCTTTGATCCAATGGCGGTAAATCCGACAGGACCGTCATTCTGATTCTGCTGCCCGTTAAATGCTCAAGTAACAACTAACATTTTGCTTCGTCACCTAGTCATGTTTAATTAATAAATATAACGAATTACGTACGGGTGCTGTACAGTTAGTTACGCTTATTATGTAAAGTAAAAAAAAAATTATTAAAAAATAACGGAAACACAAAATTTTATATTTTTGGGGGAAAACGAAACGCAAAAATTTATTATCGTAAAAATTTTTCAGGGAAAGAAGAGAGTACAAATATTTTGCAGATAACTAGATTGAGACTACTTAAAATAAATATTTACTAAAAATATATTTGAAAATTTTCATTTATTTACGGACAAACATACCAGTATATTATATTTTAGGGGCAGCATAAATATAAATATTACATTAGAAAAAACTATGGAGCTAAAACTCATAGATAAATAAATATTATTTAAATTTATAAAATGTATATTCTTTGACACACAATTTAAATATTGCCCGATTGACATGAATGATACATCATTTTACCAGTATATTATGTTTTAGGGGCAGCATAAATATAAATATTACATTAGAAAAAACTATGGAGCTAAAACTCATAGATAAATAAATATTCTTTAAATTTAAATAATGTATATTCTTTGACACACAATTTAAATATTGCCCGATTGACATGAATGATACATCATTTTAAATGGCTAGCTATACGCTTTAGAACAACACCAATTTCATATTTCTATCTTTTATTGAAGTGGAGTTGTGATTTTTTCCGTGATTTTTTAAAACCCCCTTCTTTATCTTAGTATTTAACTATTTTAACTGAAAAAACGTGTGACCCACTTTCCAAATTTCTGCCTTATTTTGCCCAAAACTTTTGGAATTTAAAAGATAATGCTACCAAATTTTCAGGAGACATTCTCAATGCAATATACAACACAATAAACAAAAAACTTTTATATAACATCAAGACTTCTATTTTTTATAGATATGTATTTGTGGGTGTGTTCAGAAAAAAAGTGAAAAGAAAAATTGGGAAAATCAGTATTTATATAGGAAAAAACGAAAAAAATAACACGTTTATTGAATTTCAAATAACTTTATTATGTTTGTGTTAAATTTTAAAAAAATTATTATATTTATAAAAAGGTAAGTAGTCTTTTTTTATATATAAAATTGAACGTATGTAATTATAAATAAAAAATTACTCAAAATCATCCATGATGAGACTAATTCATTAAAAAATGTTATTTGATATATTAAATAATTGTCTATGTAGACCTACTGCTTTTCTATGTTCTAATAAAAATATAATTACTGAGATGAATTTGTTTGAGTCTTGTTTATTAATTTGATGTATTTTAATAAAACTGTTAGTCTATATATTATAGGCTAACTAAAAAAATATATTATTAGTAAGTGTGGTTGTTGATTGTCGTAGTAATTGAATTAGAATAAGAAAAATTAAGCTTAGGCCTAAATAGACTATTATAGGATTATAATAACAGTTGTTTATAATTATAACTGATATTGATATGCAGGCCTCGTTTTAGTAATATTCTCTGAAATAATGAATAAGAGAAAAACGATTATTCTTATTGATATTACTATTGTAAAACTAGTAAACATTGATTCATAAATAATGAAGAACGATAAACTGTGTACTGGTACCGTACATAATTTTTAACGTAATAAATAAAACTGAAAACCAACCCGCCTTGGTTACTATATAATTAATATTTTCTTAAAATTATTCATTGTAAACGTCATATCATTATTTAGATGTTTAAGGATTTAACATTAACGAATCACAGTGATAGCAGCCATTTCCGGCTTCTGGATCAAAATAAAAAATAATGACAATTTCATACCCCCACTTCTTCGTGGATGCATAACTTTGTATAGACAGGTCAACGATAATCACTCAAAAAATGAAAAAACTCCTACAATGAATGTAGATTGGGTAGCACCAAATCTTATTTTGGTAGCTTTACTAGTAAAAAAGTATATTTATATACTAACCGAGTCATTATAATAATAGTGTCCGTGACGCACACAAAATCTAGTAGCATAAATCAATATATGACCGGAACACAAAAACTGATACGTCCCTGATGAGAAAGCAATTATTTAATAAACAAAGGTGACGTAGTATACAATTTTCCAAAGATACCATGTAGCTGCACGACATATTGTAGAGCAAGTTTTTTTCGGTGTAAGATCATATCCGTTGCCTGGGCCTCAAAATTTAAGGAGAATTTAAGGATTTAAATTCAATATTTATAGATTCCCACTCCCACGCTTGAAAAATAAATAACTTGGAACTTTAAAAAGAAATAAACATGATACGTTTGTGATGTGTTCATAATAATGAATGACATTAATGTTTATATATATAATTTGTTTTTCAAAAGATGGCTTCTTAAATGTTGATTTCTCTGTAATTCTAAAAGAAAACGACGACACCACGGTGCAATGAACAACAGTCATCGTTAGGCCTGGCTAGCCCTGTGGATAAATAAGACACCTACATCTGGGATGGGGGGAGGGAGGGGGGGGGTGGATACTTATTTTTGTGACGATGTGTGACGAGGGGGAGGGGGGGCCCCTCAAGCAATGTGACGTCACACGAAAAGCGGAATATTGTAGTAACACGAAATTACAGCCATTTTTAACATTATTCTTTGATACAATTATCATTATTTTATTTTTAAACTCCTATCACTGAGAGAAGGAGTACAGGCAGGGCCGGCGCTAGGGGATGGCGAAGTGGGCGACCGCGCATTGCCGTCGTATATTTAGAATAGACCTCAGCCTGACAATAGTTCCTAATCCAGTCAACACACTATTGGGAGTTATTAAGCTAGTCCAATGGTCTGGAGGTCAGTCTGACTACCGTTATGACGTGTCCCATTCATCCATTATGACCAGCTAGGCCCCAGTACGACTCTAACGTGTCTTAATATCCTATCGGCGGAATATATCACGTCAACGGCCCCGCAAAAGTCAATTTTCCCGCCGGCCCCGCACCCTGCTAGCGCCGGCCCTGAGTACAGGTATGTGCAGTCCGAAGAATGGCCTCTGATCAAGTTACAGGACGCCAATGGCTTGGGGAATCGGATTGTAGTTACAATGACATTCGTGAGAATTTATGGCTAAATGTGGACGCCGGAGGGGAGGGAGGGGGCAGCTTGGAGGGCATTTCGCACAAAGAGGTCTGACAGATTTCTATTACGTTTGAAAACAATGAGAGACGGGGAAGAGAAAATGTTTGTGTTTATTAAAATAAAATCAAAGCCATAGAATTCCTGTCAGGAAATGGGCCTGACAACAAACGTGTAAACAAGAATGAATTTCAAGGTAACATAAAAACACAGACCAAGTGATGGATGAATTCAACGCAACATCTTCAAGGTAACATAAAAACACAGACCAAGTGATGGATGAATTCAACGCAACATCTTCAAGGTAACATAAAAACACAGACCAAGTGATGGATGAATTCAACGCAACATCTTCAAGGTAACATAAAAACACAAACCAAGTGATGGATGAATTCAACGCAACATCTTCAAGGTAACATAAAAACACAAACCAAGTGATGGATGAATTCAACGCAACATCTTCAAGGTAACATAAAAACACAGACCAAGTGATGGATGAATTCAACGCAACATCTTCAAGGTAACATAAAAACACAGACCAAGTGATGGATGAATTCAACGCAACATCTTCAAGGTAACATAAAAACACAAACCAAGTGATGGATGAATTCAACGCAACATCTTCAAGGTAACATAAAAACACAAACCAAGTGATGGATGAATTCAACGCAACATCTTCAAGGTAACATATAAACACAAACCAAGTGATGGATGAATTCAACGCAACATCTTCAAGGTAACATAAAAACACAAACCAAGTGATGGATGAAAATAAAAACACAAACCAAGTGATGAATGAATTCAACGCAACATTTAATGTATGCAATTTAGATTGTTCACATCTTCATTCTTTGAATGTTTACGAGAACGCGCGCTCTAAAAGTACTAAGAGACTGAATGGCGAGGTGCCCAGCTACTGAATGGCGAGGTGCCCAGCTACTGAATGGCGAGGTGCCCAGCTACTGAGTTGATACAGCGGGCATTAACTTTAAGCCATTTAGTCGTAACAAGATCTTTAGAACGCAAAACATTGATATTAGATTAATATTAAGGATGAGCTTTCGTACAGAGACTAGAACTGTATCATTAGATCATTGGTCAAACCAAGAGACGGCGGCATTTATTTCACAAATTACACACATCTTTAAACACGATGGGAACAATTTCAGCCACTCAGCGACGATACCTTTCATAGTATAGACACAAAGTTCTTTTGTTCCCAGTCAAACATGTCCATTGTCAATATCCCTAGTCAAAATAACAAGTGATTGATAAGATAAAGAGGTGATGAGTTAGCGGTTCTTCATTAAATAAGGTATCGTCTTGAGCCAGAAAGATACCCTGTAATCAAAAGGATATCGCCTGATGGACTGGACAGTGTCCAGCCTGAGGTAGCGCTGGAGGGATGGCTCAAACGAAGGCCATTCTGAGGTCAAGGCGCTGCCGGGTTCTGACGTCGCGGCAAACGTCGTCAGTATGTCAATGAACGTGTCCGACAGTTTGTTTTCAACGGGATCGGCTAATGTGTTCTTTGGAAACTCGTAGGCCACGTCATCCCCGTGCTTCATGCACGGGGGCTTTAAGAGATCGCTCGACGGGGCGCAGTAATCAAACAGGTAGAAATAGATGTTAGATTTAACACTGGGGCAGCTAAGGGGTGCCGTTGAATTGACGGGTGGGGTGTAGTGGAGGCTCAGAGCAGAACACGAGGACAGCGCCAAAGCGGTCTCTACCGCAGGGACGATGAAAAACAGATCAGCGAATGCGTCGAGAATATTCTGGGGAGTTAAGCTACTTTCAGGAGAACCGCTGTAGAAAGTGTGGACTTCTTTTTGCATTCTTGCATTTTCGTTTGGCAGTAAACCGTAGCGGGTGTAGAGGAAATAGTCCAGGAGATCGGTGAAAAGGGTTGCGTTCAATGTGTCTTGTAAAGGTATGGGCTTCAAAAAGTTGGTGGTTAACAAGGCGCCCTCGTTGTTTAACAGACCGATCATGTAATCCTTTTTTAGGGCGCCAACTTGTAAAAGGTACGAGTGATTGGCCAGGAGGGCCATGGGTTCATCGGGGATGAACTCGCCGTCAACCGTCGGCTGCCAGATGAAATCGGCCTGTTTCCGGGCCGCTGTGATGTTGAAACCAAAAGGCAGGCTGTTGTTGAGGATGTCAGCAATGCTGAGCTGTCGAAGACACGCGCCAAGATCTGATGTGTTGCCGTCCGCTCGGCTGGCGCAGCCAACCTTTTCGGCAAACTCCCTCGCTCTTTTGATAGAATCCCGAGACAAAGGTGAAGTTAGCGATCCACTCTGAAGAATCGCCTTTTGGAAAAGACCAGCCGACATGGGCGACACCGCAAGCAGGGCTGTACTGATGGCACCGGCGGACTCGCCGAAGACGGTGATGGCAGAGGCGTTACCTTCAAAGTGGTGAATGTTTTCTTTGACCCACTTGAGAGCCAAGTACTGATCCCACAGGCCGTTATTCGCGGGCAGATCGTCGTCTTTGGTGGTCAGAAACCCGAACACTCCCAGCCTGTAGTTGACAGTGACCACTATGACGTTACTCCGCGCGACCATCTTCGTCGGCTCGGGAAAAGCACTTCCTGCCACGAACCCCCCGCCGTGGATCCACACCATGACCGGAAAACTATTCGTGGCGCCCTGGGTGGCTTCGACCAGCGGCGTATAAACGTTGAGGTACAGACAGTCCTCGGAAAAATTGGGATCTGTGCTGGGTCGAGTCACTGACCAGCAAGACGGTTTCATGTCCGAGTTGAGGATGTGACTCCCATAGGACTCGGCTAGCGGCTGGGGGCGTTTGAACCGAAGTGCGCCCACGGGTGGTTTCGCGAAGGGAATTGATTTGTAACTGATAGAGCTCTTCCCAAATGCAGTCGACACAGATCCTACGTAGCGCCCATAGGGCGTGTCAATCATTTGGGGCGTCGGGGCGGCATCGGTTCTGCTCGAGTGCCCAGACCACGTGACCGCGGAGATGGACAACGCGACGACAACGAAGATGGCGCTCATGACGAAGCCGAATATCTTCCAGCCCATCTTCCGTGATGTGATGTCAGGTGTGGCAGGGCCAGCTGTGGCAGGGCCAGCTGTGGCAGGGCCAGGTGTCTCAAGGCAAGGTGTCTCAGGGCCAGGTGTCGCAAGGCCAGGACTTTGGTTTGATATGGTGTCAAACTCGTATTTGTCTGCGGATCCAAAATTGTATACACATTATTCATGTTAGTCAGGTGATAAGAGAATATCCTAGGCTTGTATTTCTACAGGGCATCTATACATACGTCTTGGAATAACTAGGTCTCGTCTACGAGTTAGCATTCATAATCACAACTTGGTTGACATTAACGGGATTTTGGGGCCCTCCATATACTACCTCACGATAGTCACGCTATTTTTGGAGGGGGAAAATGTGCAACCCCCCCCCCTAAAAAAATGCGTCCCAAATCTTCGCCTCAACCCCCCCCCCCTTCTCTCCTCAAGTACGCCACGCTTTCGAATTCCATTGACCATAAATATTAGTAAATACTTCCAATGTAATCTAAACCCCAGCCCACTATGGCACTATTCAAAGTATGGAAAGATGGACCCATCACAATACAAAGTTCAACTAATCACTGCCTATTTCAGCAGGTGGGTTGTTTTGGTGGTGTTTCGTACATTTAATTCTTTTAAATGTTTAATTTTTTCCCCCCTCCAAAATACGTGACGTCACGCACGATCTTTTACACCCCCCCCCTTTTGCGTGTGCCAAAATTTCACACCTTTTTCTAAAGCGTGACGTGCTTTTTGGACGGCCCCTTTTAAAATCGTCTGAACTAATGGAATGATGATGATGATTATAAGTGGTTTTATTGAGCGTGGTACCCCAGCCTAGCGCTGGTCTCACCACGCTGTGCATACACATTTAACAAACATATCGAAAACTGTAACAATTAATTAACACACATACACTAATTAAATAAAACAAAAGTATATTTAAAATTATTTGCATGTCAAGCCATGGACGACACCCAACAGTGCCAACAGCATCGTTGTTCGGTCAGAGGTGGGAATCAGTCAGGATAGTAGAGATTTAAAGAGATGTGTCTGGAGCGCAGTTTTGAAGGTTGTGATGGTCGGTATATTGCGGATGTGTAATGAAAGAGAATTCCATTTTTTTTTTTGGGGGGGACAGAGAAGTTCGGTTAGATAGGAAGGGGAGGAATTCGAGAAAAAGTTGTGACAGAGAACAGAGAGTTTGTAGTCAATCTGTGCTTGTATAGGGAGCCAATGAAGTGGATCAAGTAGTGGTGTGACGTGATCACGTTTTCTCGTCTTAGAATTTACCTAGCGGCTGAGTTTTGAACCTTTTGTAATTTTTCTAAGAAATGTTTTGCTGTATGTCGGTGTTACCTACATGAAATGAAGTGGGGAGAGCTGAGTTAGAGGATGATGTAATGATCGTGAATAAGGAGTGTTTCCGTTTTGTCATCGTTAAGCTTCAACTTGCTGAGTGTCATCCATGTCTTGACATCACCAATGCTCTCCCGAAAAGACCGGATAGCAGAATCGACATGAGAGGGATGGGTATGCTTGTATAGCTGCGTGTCGTCTGCAAATGACTGGCTCTCCACAGCATGCCTCCCAAGCAAGAGGAGCAGTGGCCTGCTACACAATGTGAATAGAACCTCGCCCAAAACGGACCCCTCTGGCACTCCGTACACCAAGTGAATGTGACCAATATGTGGAATGTTACCAATAAATGGAATATAATCAATAAATGGAATATGACAAATATATGGAAAGTGACCAATATATAGAATGTGACCAATATGTGGAATGTTACCAATAAATGGGATGTGACCAATAAATGGAATGTGACCAATAAATGGAATGTGACCAATAAATGGAATGTGACCAATAAATGGAATGTGACCTATATATGGAATATGACTAATCAATGGAATATGACCAATCAATGGAATATCACCAATCAATGGAATATCACCAATCAATAAAATTTGACAAATCAATGGAATATGACCAATAAATGGGATATGACCAATAAATGGAATATGACTGTTATGTAATGTAGCACACATTCCCCTTGCGTGAACTTTCTTTGACCCCGCATTAGACTACTAGCAGACGGTAACGTTTATTGTGGGCTTGGTTGAATCTTATTGATGTATCTTGTTTACAACCGTGTTTACCAATTAAACATGGCCTAGTATCTTGTCGAATGTTCTCGATAACCCGAGAAATGTAGACAACACGTTATAAGTCTTTTTCTGGAAGCGTCTTATGTTTATAAGGGAGTGACAGATACTGAGAGACGGAGATTCAGATAGATAGTTTTAACTTCAGGAGACGTGTATTATTCTTTGTGCATTTATATGGGTTTATTCGCCTTCTTCATTCATCAATATTCATTGGCATATGACCAATCAATGGAAGATAACCAATCAATGGAATATGACCAATCAATGGAATAAGACCAATAAATAATTAGTTTTTTACGTCAAAGAAATTACAAGAAAATGTTTTTAAATTCTAATTTATAAATTCTACGTCCATTCGTTAGAGTCAACACTGTATGTGCCTACTGTAAAGACTTGCTATATGTGCTACTACACATGTATTTATAGTTAACATTTCACTCAATTTATTGTAATATGGAGGATCAAGAGTCAATGACAATTTATTTTATTTTTTGTGGTTTTGATGCCCACCCCACATTGACCAAAAAAATTTCTCTATGACTTTTAAATATTGAAATTTGTAGAAACTCTGCACTTTAATTTATGCGCCCCCCCCCCGCCCCCAACAAAAAAAAACAACAACAACAAACAAAACAAACAAACATGAAACCATGAGATTGCCTGAATGTTTAACAAACAGATATTTAAGGCCTTAAAAAATAGCCACTACAGTATTGTGATTTAAAATTATTTTTCTCAAACTCAAATCCTATAATTTTCCCCCCTTCCTGCTTACATGCCTACCAGCTTAAAAGCCTACCTACTTACAAGCCTACCTGGCATTACTAATTCACAGCTCAGGTGAAATTCTTTCAATCCACTTTCACCGAATTTAAAAAAAAAAAATTATTTAAAAGAGATCTAAAAAAATCACTAAGAATGAGAAAGAGTTCCACAACAAACACATTTTGTAATCTCAGTTTACCTTGTCAAACCCGCCAACACAATCCCGTCTGCGGGAGATCCTGGTAGTTCGTCAGGTGAGACGCCGATTCTGGGCGTCGTCAAGTCGATGGCTGCGGTGGCCTTACGTCACGCGATCAACTCGTAGGGGAGGGCTCAATTGGGTCTTCTCGGTGGTTGGTCCTTCAGCGGGTTGGCGGGGTGAAATGTGCCGCAGTTTGGGAGCGTTCAAATGGGCCGCAGTTTGGGAGCGTTCAAATGTGCCGCAGTTTGGGAGCGTTCAAATGTGCCGCAGTTTGGGAGCGTTCAAATGGGCCGCAGTTTGGGAGCGTTCAAATGGGCCGCAGTTTGGGAGCGTTCAAATGGGCCGCAGTTTGGGAGCGTTCAAATGTGCCGCAGTTTGGGAGCGTTCAAATGGGCCGCAGTTTGGGAGCGTTCAAATGTGCCGCAGTTTGGGAGCGTTCAAATGTGCCGCAGTTTGTGTGGGGTTTAAAGGTGCCGCAGTTTGGGCGGGTTGAAATGTGCCGCAGTTTGTGAGGGTTCAAATGTGCCGCAGTGTGGGCAGTTTAAATGTGCCGCAGTATGGCGGGTTAAAAACCAAGCCAGTAAATGTGTTCCCGAATGAAAGAACAAACACGACATCATCTGGTGCCTAGCTAACTGAACATGCTCCAGTATGATATGGACAAGTCAAGCACAGATAAGTCATGGACAGATAAGTCATGGACAGATAAGTCATGGACAGATAAGTCATGGACAGATAAGTCATGGACAGATAAGTCATGGACAGATAAGTCATGGACAGATAAGTCATGCACAGATAAGTCATGCACAGATAAGTCATGCACAGATAAGTCAAGCACAGATAAGTCAAGCACAGATAACTCAAGCACAGAGAACTCATGCACAGATAAGTCAAGCACAGATAAGTCATGCACAGATAAGTCAAGCACAGATAAGTCAAGCACAGATAAGTCAAGCACAGATAAGTCAAGCACAGATAAGTCATGCACAGATAAGTCATGCACAGATAAGTCAAGCACAGATAAGTCAAGCACAGATAAGTCAAGCACAGATAAGTCAAGCACAGATAAGTCAAGCACAGATAAGTCAAGCACAGATAAGTCAAGCACAGATAAGTCAAGCACAGATAAGTCATGCACAGATAAGTCATGCACAGATAAGTCATGCACAGATAAGTCAAGCACAGATAAGTCAAGCACAGATAAGTCAAGCACAGATAAGTCAAGCACAGATAAGTCAAGCACAGATAAGTCAAGCACAGATAAGTCAAGCACAGATAAGTCAAGCACAGATAAGTCAAGCACAGATAAGTCAAGCACAGATAAGTCAAGCACAGATAAGTCATGCACAGATAAGTCATGCACAGATAAGTCATGCACAGATAAGTCAAGCACAGATAAGTCAAGCACAGATAAGTCAAGCACAGATAAGTCAAGCACAGATAAGTCAAGCACAGATAAGTCATGCACAGATAAGTCATGCACAGATAAGTCATGCACAGATAAGTCAAGCACAGATAAGTCAAGCACAGATAAGTCAAGCACAGATAAGTCAAGCACAGATAAGTCAAGCACAGATAAGTCACGCACAGATAAGTCACGCACAGATAAGTCAAGCACAGATAAGTCAAGCACAGATAAGTCAAGCACAGATAAGTCAAGCACAGATAAGTCAAGCACAGATAAGTCAAGCACAGATAAGTCAAGCACAGAGAACTCATGCACAGAGAACTCATGCACAGATAAGTCATGCACAGATAAGTCAAGCACAGATAAGTCAAGCACAGATAAGTCAAGCACAGATAAGTCATGCACAGATAAGTCTCGAATAATAACTCTTCTCGGAGATAAGTTAAATCTAATTTTAAATATGGCTAATATTTTATTTGTATATGATATCCAGTGGATACGGCTACCATCGTTTATTTGTATATGATTTATCCAGTGGATTTTTTCAGTTTATTCCGATTTTGTTATCGCAGAGAATTCATGACTTCAAATATTCTCAGTGGCATAGCTTCACGTACAACTTGCCAGTGTGGCATAGCTTCACGCACAACTTGCCAGTGTGGCATAGCTTCACGCACAACTTGCCAGTGTGGCATAGCTTCACGCACAACTTGCCAGTGTGGCATAGCTTCACGCACAACTTGCCAGTGTGGCATAGCTTCACGCACAACTTGCCAGTGTGGCATAGCTGCACGCACAACTTGCCAGTGTGGCATAGCTTCACGCACAACTTGCCAGTGTGGCATAGCTTCACGCACAACTTGCCAGTGTGGCATAGCTTCACGCACAACTTGCCAGTGTGGCATAGCTTCACGCACAACTTGCCAGTGTGGCATAGCTTCACGCAGAACTGGCCAGTGTGGCATAGCTTCACGCACAACTTGCCAGTGTTGCATAGCTGCACGCACAACTTGCCAGTGTGGCATAGCTGCACGCACAACTTGCCAGTGTGGCATAGCTTCACGCACAACTTGCCAGTGTGGCATAGCTTCACGCACAACTTGCCAGTGTGGCATAGCTTCACGCACNAAAACAGAACATTTTAAGTATAATCATAACTGGGGAATAGGTTTGTACAAAAACAGAACATTTTAAGTATAATCATAACTGGGGAATAGGTTTGTACAAAAACAGAACATTTTAAGTATAATCATAACTGGGGAATAGGTTTGTACAAAAACAGAACATTTTAAGTATAATCATAACTGGGGAATAGGTTTGTACAAAAACAGAACATTTTAAGTATAATCATAACTGGGGAATAGGTTTGTACAAAAACAGAACATTTTAAGTATAATCATAACTGGGGAATAGGTTTGTACAAAAACAGAACATTTTAAGTATAATCATAACTGGGGAATAGGTTTGTACAAAAACAGAACATTTTAAGTATAATCATAACTGGGGAATAGGTTTGTACAAAAACAGAACATTTTAAGTATAATCATAACTGGGGAATAGGTTTGTACAAAAACAGAACATTTTAAGTATAATCATAACTGGGGAATAGGTTTGTACAAAAACAGAACATTTTAAGTATAATCATAACTGGGGAATAGGTTTGTACAAAAACAGAACATTTTAAGTATAATCATAACTGGGGAATAGGTTTGTACAAAAACAGAACATTTTAAGTATAATCATAACTGGGGAATAGGTTTGTACAAAAACAGAACATTTTAAGTATAATCATAACTGGGGAATAGGTTTGTACAAAAACAGAACATTTTAAGTATAATCATAACTGGGGAATAGGTTTGTACAAAAACAGAACATTTTAAGTATAATCATAACTGGGGAATAGGTTTGTACAAAAACAGAACATTTTAAGTATAATCATAACTGGGGAATAGGTTTGTACAAAAACAGAACATTTTAAGTATAATCATAACTGGGGAATAGGTTTGTACAAAAACAGAACATTTTAAGTATAATCATAACTGGGGAATAGGTTTGTACAAAAACAGAACATTTTAAGTATAATCATAACTGGGGAATAGGTTTGTACAAAAACAGAACATTTTAAGTATAATCATAACTGGGGAATAGGTTTGTACAAAAACAGAACATTTTAAGTATAATCATAACTGGGGAATAGGTTTGTACAAAAACAGAACATTTTAAGTATAATCATAACTGGGGAATAGGTTTGTACAAAAACAGAACATTTTAAGTATAATCATAACTGGGGAATAGGTTTGTACAAAAACAGAACATTTTAAGTATAATCATAACTGGGGAATAGGTTTGTACAAAAACAGAACATTTTAAGTATAATCATAACTGGGGAATAGGTTTGTACAAAAACAGAACATTTTAAGTATAATCATAACTGGGGAATAGGTTTGTACAAAAACAGAACATTTTAAGTATAATCATAACTGGGGAATAGGTTTGTACAAAAACAGAACATTTTAAGTATAATCATAACTGGGGAATAGGTTTGTACAAAAACAGAACATTTTAAGCATAATCATAACTGGGGAATAGGTTTGTACAAAAACAGAACATTTTAAGTATAATCATAACTGGGGAATAGGTTTGTACAAAAACAGAACATTTTAAGTATAATCATAACTGGGGAATAGGTTTGGACAAAAACAGAACATTTTAAGTATAATCATAACTGGGGAATAGGTTTGTACAAAAACAGAACATTTTAAGTATAATCATAACTGGGGAATAGGTTTGTACAAAAACAGAACATTTTAAGTATAATCATAACTGGGGAATAGGTTTGTACAAAAACAGAACATTTTAAGTATAATCATAACTGGGGAATAGGTTTGTACAAAAACAGAACATTTTAAGTATAATCATAACTGGGGAATAGGTTTGTACAAAAACAGAACATTTTAAGTATAATCATAACTGGGGAATAGGTTTGTACAAAAACAGAACATTTTAAGTATAATCATAACTGGGGAATAGGTTTGTACAAAAACAGAACATTTTAAGTATAATCATAACTGGGGAATAGGTTTGTACAAAAACAGAACATTTTAAGTATAATCATAACTGGGGAATAGGTTTGTACAAAAACAGAACATTTTAAGTATAATCATAACTGGGGAATAGGTTTGTACAAAAACAGAACATTTTAAGTATAATCATAACTGGGGAATAGGTTTGTACAAAAACAGAACATTTTAAGTATAATCATAACTGGGGAATAGGTTTGTACAAAAACAGAACATTTTAAGTATAATCATAACTGGGGAATAGGTTTGTACAAAAACAGAACATTTTAAGTATAATCATAACTGGGGAATAGGTTTGTACAAAAACAGAACATTTTAAGTATAATCATAACTGGGGAATAGGTTTGTACAAAAACAGAACATTTTAAGTATAATCATAACTGGGGAATAGGTTTGTACAAAAACAGAACATTTTAAGTATAATCATAACTGGGGAATAGGTTTGTACAAAAACAGAACATTTTA